ACAGTATTATCATGTCATTCTTACTCTCAACACCCTCTAGAGCCACCCCATATAATGCTGAGTAAAAGTCAAAGGCTGGCGTGATCAGGCCACATTACCTCGCTGATCTCATCACCTATTATGTACCTTGCACAACATGCTTCAGGCAATCTGGCTTCCTCGTCATTCCTTGAACATCCCAGGAACACTCCCACCTCAGCATTTTTCACTGACTGTTCTGCCTGACTTTCTCCCTTACTCCCATCAGGTCTTTGCTCAAATGTCATCATTTCAGTAAGACCTACGCAAAGCATACTAATTTTAAACTGCAATCCTCTACAGGTATTCCCTATTGCTCTTCCTTCATTTTTCTCCATATCATCACGAGAACAGGGACATCTTTCTTTTGTTCACTACTATATCCCAAGAGCTCAGAACAGTACCTGGACACAGTAAACACTAATTAATAGTTAATGTTCAAATAAATATGTCTTCCAGATGTTAATTTTTTTTTAAAGTTACCCTTCATAAGAAGATCTTCATTCTGACAATTAATGATTTAAATCTGAATTGTTTTTCTTAGAACAACTTCTAAGGATGTTTGAAACTCTGGTTTAAATCCTTAGAATTTATGCGAAATGCCAAGACATCGATACAAACAAGATAAAGACTGTCTACATGGAGGTAAATCCAACAGGAGACACAGCCATGTCAGTGAATAACTTGTATATTATAATATGATAAAAGTATGTATAGGATACCAATACCAAAGCTGATACAGATAATGCAACATAAAAAGGTTTAAGAGAGGAAGCGATATTTTAATTACTTTAGTAGGTATTCAAAGGAGTAACAACAACTTCAAGTAGAGAAAAGTGGGCAAATAAGAAGGTTACTGGAAAATGAACACATGGCATATTTAGGGAAGGGCACAGAAATCTAAGTATGGTTAGACAAGAAGCTAGGAATGAAACAGAACATTCTCTAACATTCTAGGAATATGGTGAGTGAGATACAAAGATTTTTTTAAAGAGAAAATTGGTAGATCATATTTATAGTTAACAAAGGAAATGCTTGCGACAGGAAAAAAAAGTTTAGAGGTTATTGAAACAGATGAGGAAAGAAATGATGATCAAGGGTTCTTAATGATTTTTGTATCACAAACTGTTTGGACAGACTAGGGAATCCTGTGGACTCCTTCTCAGAATAATACTTATAAAAGCATGAGGAAAAGAAATACAATTACAAAGGAAATTAATTACACTGAAGTATAGTTATCATATATTAAAAATAAAGTAGTATAGTAGTATATGCAATAAGTTAATATTAAAATATTATACAATCATATACAATAATTCCAAAGCAGTGTTAAATAAAAACAATATTTCAAAATATGCAACATCAATAATGCAACAAGATATATATTTAATATAAAAAGTGATATGAAAACATCTGCATTTCCTATTGGTAACAGTGTCACAAGCACTGCTATTATTATTGTCATGTGTTTTCTACGTGCATAATAAAAGAAAATGCTTATTTTGGTTAGAAGAGAGTAAACATGAATAATTTTTTTCCCTATTCCATTCCTGAATCACAAGTTAAGAACTCCTCATTTAGACTAAGTGGACATTCAGGCAACAAGATAGGAAATGAAAGAGATATTTATAAAGAATATATTTCAAATAAATAAACATCCTCTGGAAAGTTTTTTTTTTTTTTTAAGGCAAATAGATAAAATAATCCTAACCTAAACTGGATCGACTCCAAAGAGTAAAAAGGAAATACCCCTATATCAACTGTTATTTAACAGTTTCCTTTACTTTGCTAAAAAGAGCACGAACAAACAACGGTGATACCGCCAAAACATGATTCATTTTCAAGATGAATCCCTCCCTGTTCAACGGCTTACATTGTTTTTGACCAGCATCAGACTGTTTACTCACATAAACTGTAAATACATCATTTTTAGAACTAACCAACAACAATACCCATTTTGTTATGACATGTAAGATACAAAACGAACATTAAGAGAAATGACCAACACTATGTTTTAAGCATATGTCTATGTTTTAAAAATGAGAAAAACTAGACAGAGTAACAGCACGAAATTCTGAGAATAAAATTTTAACACATGTTGTCTATCAGGAGAAAAAGGCCTGTTGAAATTCCTTGCTTTCAAAAGGAAATCTTAAGCACAGCAGCATTGTCAAACAGTGTGGATTCTCCTCTCTGAGATTCCTGCAAAAATACGAGGAGAGATATAAAAGCAATAAAGCTGAGAGAAAACAATATTTTGACCTGGAAATCTAGTATTACTTCTTAACCTCTATTGTTTTACAAATGATAAAATACTTCATTGATTGGCACTTGCAATCTTTAACAAAAACACACTAAAAGATAGTTGTTCATAGTTATTTATGATTTGTGTTTTCCCTCGGAGTAGAAGATACATGAGGGCAGGGATGAATTTTAATTTTTTTGTGCACATTATGCCCAAAGCCTAACCTGTTTTGTGGTTTGCTTATTAAAGAAGGAAAAATAGGAAGAAAAAAAAAAAGGAAGCTCAAAAGAATATTTTCTCTGAAGATATATAAATGCAGTGTCTACACACGCTTCCTGATTCATCTACTAATACATCTGTGGTTTCTCTTGTTGACCTAGTTGCCCCATGTGCACAGTGAATCTTTCTGCAAAAAGAGCTTGGTGAAAGTTTAAGAAAAATATTCCACCCAAAAATGAAAGTCCTCCAAAAATCTGTACTATGGGGGGCACACCTCATCAGCAAGGGTACCTACATAATGAACATTTGTATACCTAACCCTGAATAGTACCCCACACCTTTAAAATTAAAAATTAAAAAAACCCTGTACTATACACCTAAATATAGAACAAAAATTTTTATACCAAAAAAATGAAACTAGTTAGGTCTGAAGTAAAATGTCTTGCAAATAGCTGAAAATATTAATATCTCACCTTCTAAATTTTATTTTTTCAAAATTCGAAATACTCTTCTAAATGACTATTTTTGCCTAGGACTGATTCTAAAAACGTTCTGTCTTAAATATCATGAGTCACTAGTTAAGTTTAATATACATGAAATACAACTGCTCTTTTATACACACACACACACACACACGTGTGTGTGTGTGTGTGTGTGTGTGTATAAAAGAGGCAAAGCATAAAATCCCAGGAGAAATCAGAGATCCCACTTTTTGAGTTACAGAAGTTGTCCCCAGGATTACATTTGTCTCTATATTTTTTCATCTGTCTTAAAGCTCCCTACAGAATACACACATCACACACCACACACACACACATCTGTAATTGATCAGATATTACAAAAGAATGTAATGTGGTCAGTATAGAAGCCAAAACAATTTAGGACAGGAATATACTCCCCAAAATTGCAAAGAAGTACTCAAGCAAATACATGTACACACATATTCATAACAGCACTAGTCACAGTAGCCAAAAGATAGTAACAACCCAAATGTATACCACTGGATGAATGGATAAATTGTGCCATATTCACATAACAATATAATTTACCGAGAAAAAGGAATAAAGAGCTAATGTATACTACAATGTGGATGAATATTGAAAACAATACACTACGTGAAAAAAGCCAGAAACAAAATACCACATATAGCATAATTGCATTTATATAAAATACACAGAACAGGTAAATCCATGGGGACATAAAGCAGAGTGGTGGTTGCTAGTAACTTAGGGAAAAGAAAAATGAGGAGTAACACTTAAAGAATATTGATTCCTTTTTGGAAGGAAAACATGTTTTGAAATTAGAGATGGTAGTTGTATAACATTGTGAATTTACTAAATAAATGCCACATTTTGAATGATTAATTTTATGTTATGGGAATTTCAGATCAATTCAAAAAATAAGGATTACTTTATGTGGTAATCATAATTTCGATATAAGATTTCCCAATCTTAAAAACCTAAAATCGTCATTTATCAAGTGGAATCTGCAATGCCCCAGAAAAGTGTCATCTATTGTCAACATTTTCTTTCATTCTGGTGAGAATAAAATGGTGTTATAATAACTCAGGTATTATTTATCAAGGTTAAGACTCACATAGGTTATGACCCAGAATTTCCACTCAAAATTTCTATACATACTAACAGCAAACACGAAATTACGCAAATGTGGAAAAAATAAACAAATAGAAGTACAATAGAATAAGTCAGAGCTATGGAAATAAATGAACTAAATTTACCTGCAACAACATGAATGAATCTCACAAACATAATATTAAAGAAACCAACAACACCAAAATATATGTACTCTATAATTCCATTGATATGAAATGGAAATGACAGTGTTTAAGGACTGTCATTGGACTGCCTTAGAACTAAAGCCATTTTTTAAAAGTAGAGATGTGATTACCATAAAGGTCAGAATTGTGGCTTAATTGTTATAGAGAAGGTACACAAAAGGCAAACTCTGAAAATGTTCCCTTTATTGATTGAAATGATGGATAAGCAACTATTTAAGAAAAATTGTTGAGATATACTTTGTTAGTTTTTCATGTAATATATTGGTAGAAATCCCATAGAAGTATATTTTAAAATAAAATGCAAATGTTGCTCGATCTAAAATATACATGACCCATGACTTCCTCTCCAACAATGAATATTTCTTAATGAACTATAGTACTAAGCCATTAAAGACAGAATGTTCTGGCAGAGACGCAGGAAGAATGTTCAATTTTCTAAAGTTATGAAAAGAGTCTCAAACTTTATATTCCACAAATATAATACCAAATATTTCATACATATTGAAAAATTAGGGAATTAAAATGGTATGGTAAAATATCACCATTACTATATTGGCTCTAATTCATTAAATGATTTAATAAATAAGAATGTCTCATATGAGCCTAAGATCTTGTCTCTACATGAACAGATTGCAAAAAATTGTTATTTTATCCCAGATCTGTAAAATTAAGGACAAAGGAAAAGAAGATTGAAGGAAGCGTGAAGAAAGAGAAAATTACCATGTAGCGGTGAGCCAGAAGGGCTGCTTGATAGACCTGGAACAGGGCTACAGCGACCTCCTTGCTTAGACGTCAGTTCTTGTTCAATCTCTTCCAGTCCAGCACTTTTCTGGAAACGGCTCATGCGATTCACTACTCGTGGGGACATATGTGTACGAACACAAGGCTGGCCTCCATAAGGGTTGATAGGAAAAACATGGGAAGTACCCCGGAGAGTACTGACCACAACCCAGCGACAGTCATGACTGAAGCAGATGTCTTGTACCTAGAAATGAGATAAAATACAAACTATTTGGATTTATCTAAGAGTGCCACACATCACCAAATATAAATGGCTGCTTCTTTACCAAATTGACCTAAGAGTAGGTTATAAATAAAATTTTTTATTCTACATATTCACAATGAATGCTAATCAATACTCTATTAGGTAGGAAGTTTCTTCAATAGTCAGAGTATAGGACCTCAAAGAGAGGTGGGATATAGAAGAAGGCCTTGAAACACTCAATGCCTTCCCCCACAACATATACACAACAACAACAACAACTCATGCATTTGCAGTGGTTGGCAAACATTTTCTATAAGGATTTTGCATAATATACACGTTCTACTGTCTGTTGTAACAACTCAACTCTACCCTTGTACAGTCAAAGCAGCCATAGAAAATACATAAATGAATGAGTACAGCCATGTTCAAAAAATTTTGCAAAAACAAGTGAAGGCCCAGAGACCTGATCTGGGGAACATTAATCATTAACCTGTAAGACATGTAATACACTAAATAAAGAATTTCCAGTATTTTTGAATTGGCAGGTCTAATTTACTACCTTTATCTGGATATCAGTCTAGTAGTGAAAACTTGAACAAAAATATTTCCATTTACCTTCTTCAAAAAACGTAATAAAGAAGGCCAAGTAAAATTTAATATTGTTCTAATATTTTTAAACATAGTCACTAAAAGAAAGGCAGGTCACAGACACTTAAGAAAAGTTTTCTGGCCAGGCTCGGTGGCTCAGCTTGTAATCCCAGCACTTTGGGAGGCCAAGGCAAGTAGACTACTTGAGCCTACATGTTTGAAGCCAGCCTGGGTAACTTGCAAGACCCCGTTGCTACAATAAATCAAAATTAGCTGGGTGTGGCAACGCGCGCCTGCAGTTTGACGCTGGGGAGGCTTCGAGTGTGCCACTGCACTCCAGCCTGGGTGATGGAGTGAGACTCCAACTCAAAAAAAAAAAAAAGAAAAGTTTTCTACAGTGGTTAATTTTCTACCACATAAAACAATTGTCAAATGATGTTTCTAAAAATACAGACAAGGTAAAAGTATAGTAGAATAATGATAATTGTGAATAGTATTTAACATGAAAAAATATATATACATATATTTATATGAATGAAGCATATTGGCTTTTATTATAATGACATGCATTAAGTAAAATTCCTCAAATGGACAATGAAGCCTATTTCAATACATTAGATCTTGAAATAAGCCTAAATATTTCAGAAATGTATTATGAACAAAAGTTATATGTAGCCTTCAAAGCGCAAGATTCTACAAGAGCCTGGATCCTTCTAAATAAATGAGAAATTTTAGCCTATATATTAAAAGAAGTCACTTCATAGCTAGATTACTGCTAGGACAAATATTATCAAAACATGAACAAACTCAAAATTCAGCCATATGCTGGTCAATCTTGATTACTGTGACATATCCAAATGACATGTTGACATAATTAAAGACTATCCTGAAAGCTGACAAATTTAACTCCCAATAATTCCAGTACTTCAGATAAAAAAATTATTCCCAAGTGTTTAACTTCTATAGTTTGCCTATAATAAGGAGCAGCTTAACTGTCTTTTCTGAATAGATTAGAGACACTATTAAAAGAAAGAGTGGAGGTAATAGAAAAGCAAGAGAAAGAGAAAGGACAAAGAAAGGTATAAACAGCAAAAGCAAGAGAAGAGAAGAGAAATACAGTATCATAAGAACTTAAGATTGTAGTATGAAATGTATTTTCACATGCCAGAATCAAATATATATTTTAAAACATCTTTGGACTTATCATTGAGTAATTTATGTTCCATCCACAGTGGAATTGAACTATGTTATCTAAAACCTCTTTCCAAAACACTTACAATCAAGACCACTTCCTGTTCTGTCAATGAAAAAGTTTCCTTCTTTCACTTTAAGAATACTTGTGATATGAGGTGGTGTTAACAATCAGTATCAAGACAGGAAGACAGAATTCCACCTAATGCTTACTTAGAAAACTGCTATTAGAGAAGTGATTCTGCTCTATGGCCTTAAAGACACATTAGCATACATAAATGAGCAGAGAAGGAATGCTAAAGATATTAGCTGTCAAAAGAACTAGAGAAGCTTAAGCCTTTAAAATATAGAGGATAACAAGATGCCTAACCACAAAATGTAAAATTAGATAATTTGGTAATACTGAACTAGCTGGATGGTTTATTATACATTACTAAAATTGTTTTTAAAACCTATAAAAATGGCAAAATAAAGTAATGACATATCTGCATGACTTTTGGACCTCAATTATGGAACATTTTTTCTAATTAACATTTTCTCATCATAACAAAGGAGAGCTAAAATAGAATTGCATCACTGATTTCATCATATAGCACTAAATGTCACAGCAAATACCATTTACCAAGTACAGATTAAACAACTGTGAAAACAGAAATTAAACAAATAGAGGTACCACTCACTACTCAAGATCTTGTTCTCAAACTTAGGACACAAACATACTCAGATAATTATTTGTTCAAAATAATCACTATTCAATATTCTAAACTCAGGAACTCAGCATATTTGAATAGCAAGAGGCACACTGCCTGTACTCCTAGCTGGGTACATTTCACAATGCTATAAGACTGAAGCACGGAATGATTGTGGGCATGAAACAAGTAGAGGTTTCTTTTAGAATGGGGGTTAGCAAACTTTTCCTGTAAAGAAGTAAATAGTAAATTGTAGGCCTTGTACGCAAGAAAACAAAATCAAAGGTACTATGTAGTTACTTACAATAACAAGAGCAAAAACAAATTTCAATTTTTATTGATGTAACTCAAAATGTATAATTTTTTGTTATATAGATCTACTAATGAGAATGGCATTCTTTTTTATGGGGATAATGTTTTGCTTCCTTGAGGTTAAAAGCTAGTGTTATTAGGTTACAATACTTATCTAAAAAAACCAGTCTTAGCTGGTTATACAAAAACAGCCAAAAGGCCAGGCTTGACCCATGGACCACAGTTTGCCGACTGACTCATTTTACGTGATCGTTATAACAGTCAATGTAGACTTTTCAGAGTGTCAATCACCTTAAGATGGAAAAGTCTCAGGAATCTAAAATCAAAGACAAAAAAGAATATGATACCCTCTCAGTCAATAAGTAGTATTGCTGTTTATAAAGAGTCTCCACAGTACAGAAAGGAGAAACTCTACACAAAGTTTTCACACAAGAAAGAATTCACACAGGACATGAATTAAGAAGATGAGACCAATGAGATTAAAGTACTTTTAAAAATTCCATAGCAATCTGGTAGCAGTGGCTCATGCCTGCAATCCCAGGTACCAGGGGGCTTAAGTGGGAAGACTGCTTAAGTTCAGGAGTTAGAGGATGCAGAGAGCTATGACTTGTCATTGCACTCCACTCTGGGTGACAGAGTGAACCTTACCTCTTAAAAAATAAACAGGACAGGTGAGACAGCTCACATGTGTAATTCCTGGCACTTTGGCAGGTCAAGACAGACACATGAACTCAGGAATTAAAAGTCAGCCTAAGAAGCATAGTAAGAGCATGCATCTACAAAAAATAAGCTGGGCATGGTGGTATGTGCATGTAGTTCCAGCTACTCAGGAATCTGATGAAGGGGGATCACTTGAGCCCAGGAACTTGAGGCTGCAGTGAAGTATGATCGTGCTACTGTACTCCAGCCTGGGTGACAGAGTGAGACCCTGTCTCAAATAAATAAATTAATAAATAATCTGCTAAAAATTAAAAAAGAACAAAATTCAATAGCAAGCATTTTGTTTGGTTTGTTTTCAAGGCAAAAATAGCAATATACAATAAAATAATAACACATGGAAGCTGAGGTGGAAGGGTTACATCAGCTCAGGAGTCCAAGACCAGCCTAGGTAACATAGTGATACCTTGTCTTTTACAACAATATCAAAAAATTAGCCAGTGTGGTGGTGTTTGCCTGTAGTCCCAGATATTCAGGAGACTGATGCAGGAGGATGACTTGAGCCCAGGCGTACAAGGTTGCAGTGAGCCACACTTCACTCCAACCTGGGCAGCAAAGTGAGACCCCGTCTCAAAAAAAAAAAAAAAAAAGTTCTGAAATTACATAGTAGTGACCAATGTATAACTCTGCGAATATACTAAAAATCCCTGAATTGTACACTATAAAATGGTAAATTTTATGTATGTGAATTATACCTCAATATAACTGTCATTTAAAAAAAAAAATGAAAGGAACACTAACTAGCCAGTTTGCTGAAAGGGAAGTTCTATAAGCCTCTTTTTATAGACTGTGGTTTCATTTAATAGCTCCTTAGTTCTTAGAGATGCCTTGGTTGTTTTACGCACAGAGGAAGATAAACAGCTGCTGGAAAGCCTACACTAGCATTTTATCTGTGCCCATCTTAGCTCACTTCACATCTGGGGTTGGAGTAAACCAGTGACTGAATATAATATGGGTAAAAGGTATAACCAGATGCTTTTATTAAGTCTCCCTCCACTCAGCATGTAAGTGAGACTTAAGAAGAAAAACTCAAGCAAACGGCACCTGATTTAGTCTGAGAATCCTCACGAGGACATGCATGGTTATCAATTTAGAGTTTTTAAGGACACAAATGTCAGAGTTCTTAACTAATGAGATACAAGCATAAAATTACAGTGTTTAATTAAATGTTTTGTGAACTTGTGTTAAGTTATGTAATTTATCCTTCATCAAATGTTTCCTCTATCATTCAGCATATTTATAACATCTCACTTTGTTTCTCATTTAATTTGGGTATCAGAAACCAATTAGGCCTCTAGAAAGCTAATATATTTGCTTATTAAAACATACTATAGTCATATTCTAGTAATTTTGATTTTTATAAATATTTTTGAGCCATCTGAATTATTCAGTTTTAAATACTTAATTGATTTGAGAATTAAAAAACACAGTATTGGGAGCAACCAAAATTTAATACAGCACACATATACTCACATGGAACACAAAATTTCTAACGAGTGTTTC